AATGGTGGAGACCACAATGGATATGGGCTGGAATGCATTTGTTTCACATTTGCAAGAGAATGTGCAGTGATTTGGTTAGTGACTTGAAGGAGTGGATTTTTATTTTTGGCCTTTTGATATACTTTAGAGAAGGATTTTCTTTAATGAAAGTTATTAGAAATCCTGGAAAGGAACATTTTAGAATGTGTCGTGGTGAGATGCGCTTAGAGTATAAATGTTTTTATCCGTCCTTTAAAAAACAAGCAAATAATTCCGTAATTTCAGTATTTCTTGAAAATATACACGTAACATGCAATATGTTTTTAAATATCTTTCCTAAGCCCTTGTAAACGATTTTCAGTGCATTACATAACAGAACTGGAATCCCTTCTCAAGCCTGAATGTCAATATATTCCCAAATAAAATGTTTATACAGTTGAATCCGAGATGTGTTTCACTTCCATTGACAAGATAGGTGAAAGGAACTAAGGTATAGATGTTTTTAGATTTGCGCCTCAGCAGTTACTACCGCTCTGAACGCAGCACTCAGTACTGCGAGCAGCAAACAGAGCTTTGAGGATTGGATCTGTGTGCAACACTGGAATACAAAAAAGCAAAGTGTGATTCGATGGCACTATTAGGGTTTGCCACAAGATGTTGAGGTTTGCTTTCCCTGAAAGTTTCTCAGTTTTTAAGCTGGAGTGACTTAAATACATGCTCTCTCTAAAATAATCACCATTTAATATTATTCTCCAGACTATGAATTAACTTTCAGTTTGAAAAGTCTTCTGCCTGAAGAGAAAGAAGGTCATGAAACAGCCACCTTAGATCTGAAACTCCGTGGGACATTAACAGAAGAAAGTAATGCTGACAGGGGCAGTGCTTTTGCTCAGGATACAAACAAAATACAGCAGCAGAAAAAAAGACAGACAGAGCCGGTTTTACATGACACAGAAACCTGATTCCAGATGCTTCTTGTTGGTGCTGAGGTTGTAACTGTGAGAAAATTTTCAGTCTGTCATATTACAAGTGTAAAATTCTCAGAGCTGCCCAGAAGCTCAAACAAACCACTGGCCTCCGTGTGAGATTGGGTCTGTTTTGTTTGTTTCATGTGTAGCTCCTTTTTAATCAACCCTATTATTTGACCTTGCCCACAGCTAACCTTTTTGATTATATCCTAATTTTGCACACAGGAAATGTCTCCCAGGAAAGATGCTACTAATTGGTGTCATCCTGCAGGCACTTTGTCTGCAAAACAGGTCTGTGCCATGCACCTATTTACAAGTAGTATTCCTAGTAATGTTAAAAGGAAAAGCCTTGTGATCACGCAGTAAACCTTGTGAAAGAAATTGTGAGTGGTGGTAGGAAATTATGCTAGTTTACCAGATTCCCAGCCATATTGTTCCATGATTTGACTGCATTCCTGTCTTTGGCTCCTGGGCTGTAACCTATTTAACATATAAAACTATGTTTCTTTGAATGTGCTTGCCAACCTACTCTAATTAGCCTGAATTGAAACTGCAGGCTAGATGCGGTGTGTTGATGGTATCATACTATAAAGCAGCCAAGTTTTAAAACCAGAGACGGATGCTGGCCTTTTCTGCCTCAGTGATTTTGGGGATCTTGCATATACTAAGAGTAAACTTTTAAGTTGTAACCAAGACAAAGACTGCTAAAGCTAAGCAGAAGCAGAAAAGGGCAGGTCACTATCTTGTCCTCACTTGGAGACCCAATTCTGAGCATAATTTTTTTTTCCATTCCAGAAGGAATGAGTGAAGTGCATAATGAAATATACATGTGACCTGATTTTCCCTGCAACATTCAAAATGTTGCTGTGGACTGCAAGCACCCTGTTAAGGATCCCTGAAAGGATGGAATGTATTTAGTAGCCCACTGGCAACTGTGCTTCGTTTGAACCTTTTTAAGCTCTCTGCAACTCCTAAACAAAGTTGCTGTTTAAGGCTGGTACTTGCACGGGATACTGCTTGACGCTGACGAAACCTAGATCAAATCAGAAGATCTTCCAGGATAGCAGCAATATAGCTGACATGTTTTCCCAAAAATATTCAGAACTGATTTGCTTTTCCTGCCTGCGTGCTTTAATTTTAACACTGTCGTCTCTTTTGTGCCACTGGGGGTGGTGGTTTGATTTCATATTTCTCATATTCCTATAACATTGCAAATAATACAATTAAGATCATACATCCTGCTTCTTCTAAAATTAATTTCAGTAGTGATTTCCCAGAGTGCCAATGCAGGGATTGTTCTTGATTGAGTGTTTATAGGGTATCTTTTACTCTCACAGACTTTGTTGTAGAAAAACCAAGTCTGCTACTGGACAACACCATACTAGGCAAGAATGAATTACTGTAGGAAAGGACGATGATGTATGAGGGCAAATGAAGTTAACAGATCTCACTGCTGAAAGGTGTTTATCTGTTGGGTGTCTTGTCATAGAATGGTTTGGGTTGGAAGGGACCTTAAAGACCATCTAGTTCCAACCCCCCTGCCATGGGCAGGGACACCTTCCACTAGACCAGGTTGCTCAAAGCCTCATCCAGCCTGGCCTTGAACACTTCCAGGGATGGGGCATCCACAGCTTCTCTGGGCAACCTGTTCCAGTGCCTCACCACCCTCTCCGTGAAGAACTTCTTCCTGATATCTAATCTAGACCTCCCCACTTTCAATTTAAACCCGTTCCCCCTTGTCTTGTCACTACAGGTCCCCCCCCCAGCTTCCTTGTAGGCCCCTTCAGGTACTGGAAGGCTGCAATAAGTAAAGTGAGGGGTCAGTAGTACTGAATACTATTTGCATAAAAAAACCAGTTGTTTCCTGTATCCATGAAAAGTTGTTTGGTATTAAAAAATAGAATGCAGCATTTATGAGTATGTAATTATATAGAGCATAATAAATTTTGTACATCACACACTCGGATGTGCACAGACTTGGCAGAATTATTTGTTCAGAATCATCTGGCACATGGTTTGTGTGAGCTGTTTTAGCTTGCACAGTAGTCAGGAACTGCCTTCCGTATCAGCTGCTCTGATAAATAACTGCTTGTAATTCGTTAGCTGACCGATTAGTTTAACTTTGCCTACGAATCACACACGACAGATTGTGTTCCCCAGCTTTCCAAAGCGGCTGTGCAAACCCATACATATATTCCTGAATGCCATTCAGGTAAGCACTGAGCTACTTGGATTTTTGGTACATCCTGAGGACTTTCACATTTCTATTTAAAGCTAAATGATCACTTCAGTAATTTTTCTCTCTTGGAGCAGAGAAAATAAAAGGAAATCCTACCATATCTGAGGAATAAAGGCACTCAACTGGTCATATTCTGCCATGACTGCATCTGTGATTTCTGCTTTGCTGGGAGCTGATTTTTACCAGTATGGAAAAATTTATAAATTCATGACACCTATCTAATCTGGTTTTTATTTGCTTCTTGAACACATGAGAAGTGTAAAAATTAGAAATTTGCATCATTTCAAATGCAAGTGTTTTAACTCATTAATCAGTCAGTTTGACATAAAGTGATGCAACTAGCCGTCATAACATGCTCTGGAGGGCCAAAAAATGCTGCTGGGTGACCCAGATTCGAAGAGAGGGAAAGGGAAGCTCAGGCACTGGGCGTAAGACACCACCTGCACCTCATCCCATAGAAACTGGCAGAGCTCAGTGGACCTACAGGTGTGCAGTTGCTCGTTGCAGAAGTATCAGACATTAATTTTTTTATAGATTGCTGCCTTAGCTCAGATCTAATGGAAGTCTGATTCCTCACTGTGATTTCTGTATCCAGAAAGTTTTTAATTTTGGGAATTTTACTCCTAATGTGGAAAAACAGCTGTGAATATTAAGAGGTCTCTTTCATTCAATAGTAATACGTTTGGTGGAAAGCGAAGTGATGCAATTTCCACAGCAATACTGAGAAATAAAGAATATTTATTCAGGTATTGCACTGCCCTAATGTGCATGTATGTGCGATTCACGATTCAGATTTTAGGTGGTTCGAATCCCCTTCTGGAACATTTATGTTACGTGTCTCTCTTGACCATAGAGAGAGCGTCTGGGGACCAGATTCTATCTCAGGCAATTCATTTGTGTAGGACAAAACATACAGAAAGCTTACTCCTCCGCTCAAGGTAGCATTCCTGACAGGTAGGGCAGCCACCCTCAGCCCGCAGTAAAACAGCAGCGCAGTAAAACAGCAGCCACAGGTATGCGCAGGCTCCCCTCCTGCAGATTTCCCCGCACAGCCCCCGGAATTGCCCTCCCTCCTCTTCGATGAAGAAAATGCTGGAAGACTGATTTTCATCCTGGGTGGCGTGTGGCAATTAACTAACACAGTTTTCTGACTCATCATAGTATTCCACCTTTACACAGGTCACACATACTGGAAAAAGGAGAATTAAGAGTCAAACACCCTCTTATAAGATAAAATTAAACAGCCACATGATGATGCAATGGGACCACCACAGTGCTAGATGTGTACTTTATAAGGGTGTTTCGGAAGTATTCAGACATTTACAGGACTAAGTGGTTAAACAGTGTACTTATTTTCCTACTATTCTTTCAAAAAACTAAGCGCATGCATGCAAAAGGACATTAACACTGCGGTGACAGAAAGTCAGACTCTGGAGAAAGACAAATGTCTGTTACATATTCTTTCTTTCCCCCATGTTGTTTGCATTCATTTTTATTCCAGAAAAGTAGAAACAAGTGCACAATGTATACTGTGGAGCAAAGCACCCTGAAGGCATTTAAACAAGCCCATCCCCTTACTGTTCATTGCACTGAGAAGTGAACTGAAAGATGAGATTCCTCAACGAACGCAAAACAAGAGGCAGAAACATAATCTCATCTTCTCTCAGCAAGCAGGCAAATCTCTTGCACCGTTTTCCAGTGCTGGAATTAATCAGCTTCCGAATAGGATGTTCAGACTGCTTGGTGAGATGATTCTGTGTTAGAAAGTCCTTAAGAAGCCACTCTGCAAGTGGATGAAGGAAAGAGAGGACGATATGGGGCACGCTGTACACCAGTTCAAGGCTCTGCTCTGGAAGAATTGGCTCTGCCGTGTGAGGCAACCGGTGAGTTTTTGGAAGTGATTAAAAAAAGCAATATTTTAAATCTTATTTTAATATCAGTTGGAAGAGTTTATTTATCGATTTTCCCTTTTCACTGCAGATTGTTAAAGATAGGCTGGCTGCAAGGGGTTCTTTTACTTGCCTCTGCTCTCCTAATTGCTGAAAACACAAGTAGAGAAACCCAGTGTGTTTTAATTCTAAAATGGCTGAATACAGCAGTGCTCCCCAATTTGCTCATGAGATAGGAAATCCCATAAAAGTTCTGAAGAGCCACAGCTTATCTTTTAATTACCATGAGATACTACCAGTGCCTGCAGCAGTAGCAAGGCTGAAGATCAATTTTCTTCACATGACAGGTAGTCATTGGTAATGTAAGAAAGCTTGCACAATTGTGATCAAAATCTAGATAGGAGGAATGCAAGAATTGTGTATTAAAACTGTGTATACTTCTAAATTTCCTTTCATATCCACTCTACGATGCCTAATTTAACCTTTTGATTTCCCATATGCAGAAGAATGTGGCAGCTACCTCAACATCAGTCAAAATTGAAATAATACTCAAATATAAGATGAGATGTCATTCTTCACTTTTACTGCGATTGACATGATTTTTTAATTTAAGATGGAAATAAGTGAATTTTCTCAAGAGAGATAACATTTTTGTGGAAAAACAATGTCACTTTAATTAATAGTTTCTCATTGATTTCCCTTGTCTGTGATCTGGGGATTTGCCATGAGGCATGTTGGCTGCTTTGGGTAGGATTACTTCAATTAAATAAACATACAGCTTTTCGTTTCAGAAATATTTCACTTAAAATTGTGACTTAGAGAGAGAATTTATTCTCCAGATGATTTCAAGTGATGTTTTTTCATACCAAAATTACTTTTTGGGGAGGGATAGTTGGTTATATTCTTCTCCATTCCTAAACACTTCTGTATGCTATCTGTTCCTCATACTTCAATCAGTGTGCAGTAAGTGGCTTCTCAGTGTCTCCTGTTCTTCTCCATGCTGAGCTATTTCTCTTCTTGCTCTGTCTAGTTTTTCCTTTTATATATTCTTGAAGGACAAAAATCTTAATCCATGTAAGTTTTAAGTTTGTCTAACTAGTAGCTTTCCTGAAAAGAGCACTCATCGAGATGAGCTTCCCCATAACAGAATTTACAATGAATTTCACAAACCTACTTCTACCTATTCAGAGCCAGGAGCTGCTCCAGGGAATTTGCAAAACCTCCTCGTGCGCTCATTGTGCAAACACCGAGCCACAAAGGTGCTCTATCCGCAGTTACACAAGGAGAAATCCAGGTGGATCATCCCCCTATGCAAAGGTTATATCAGACCCTCGTGAATCTGAAGAGAGAAGCATCCTCTCAATGATCGGATGTGCTTCAGTCCTGTATTATATCTGTCTGTAGAAGGTGATTGTCTTCCCATGGTTATTTATCATCAGTTAGGGCTAGAAGACAAGTGTGGTCTGTTGAACTACTGATGTGTCACATGGCATTAGTTGATATTACACAGTGAAGGGGCTGTGAAAGATGTCAGTGATCTGTAAAGAGTAGGTGTTTTGACTGAAATTCAGACAGGCATCAGCACCTCCTATTAACATGGTTCAAAGGCAGCACAGGATGATATGTATGTTTGGATGTCAGTTGGAGTTTGAAATTGCAGATGAGTAGAAGATACCATCTCATTTCTGTTTTCAGAAGCCTTTGCTTCTGAACTACAGACTCTGGAAGCCCAGGTGATACATGCTGCCAGGCAACTGTATTACATAATTTTTCTATCACTGCATTTCTTAGCTTTTGTTTATATAGTATTTATTACCACCCAGATTTACAGCTAGGTAGAGGATGAAATGCAATTCCCAAATTCTCTTGTTTTGATAACCTAAATTAGAGGAAAATTGGTATTACAACCATGTCGTGAAGTGTTTGGAGTGTGTGGTTGCTAATATGACAATTAGGGGAAAACAGAAACATAACCTATCCCAAAACTCTGCCGTTTTTAAGAAGTTGCAGTTCATAATTTCATTTTGGATTAATGTTAAACATGAGAGAATATGCTGGTGTAATTCTTGCTCTTCATCTGCCCCTACGCTGAGTGTCATATTTGCCCTGCTTCTGTCCTTTACAGTTCACACTCCTTTCTTCTACACTTTAAGAGACATAAGCATCCTAAAAATTACTCACTGCTGAGTGCCCTGTTTTGCATACATCTGTTTTTGCATCAGTGCAAAAAAATAAAAATAGAATAATAGTGAACGATTACAAAGTGATCTTTTCATCCTGACCCTAAAGCTCCACTACCAAATTCACCGTTCTTCTCAGAGGCAACTTACCAGAATGGCATGAACTCCCAGACCTCAGATCCCCTTAGTGCCTGAGCAAAGCAGCTTCACAAGTGCTGCCACCTTTCAAATACCCATTCTTCGGGCCTTCTGTTAGTGCCTTTCTTATTGGAACATCAGTACAACAGGATTACTTCCCACCTTTACCAGCAATAACTTACTCAATAAGATCAATTTTTCTTGCTTAATGCCTGCAGTGTGCTGATGCTTCATTGAGTCCCCCTACCTATGTTCACTTCAACACAACCTGATGATGTTGCCTCTGCAGCTGCCTTCTCAGTCCTTGTACTTCTGCCAAATTCCTCTGTTGTCATGAGCTCTGCTAGAAGACAGCTGAATGGGGTTTGCTTTATTAGTCTAAAAAAAATTGTTAGCTTGAAGGACAGGACTGCTAATGGCTCTTTCAGGGGTTGGAAAAAAAAAAATCCCAATTATTTTGGACTCCCTCACATCCAAGCATCAGCTGGATGGTTGCTGCTGTTGACACCCAGGCAGTGGTTGAGATGGTAGTAAGGGCAGCTAGAGCAGACTACTGCAATGTGGACAATGGGATTATTTCATAAAATTCCTAGGCTCTCTGCAATTGCTATTATCAACATGCAGACCCACGATACTCTAGCAAATGAGGGCATAAGCATATTAAACTAACTAGTTCACATCTGATAAGCCATTAATGCGTACTGAAATTCTCGAAGTAAATGGAAAATGGGGAAGTTATTTGTTTTCCTAAAACTTTCTGAACAACAGAAATTATTCTATTAGGCCTATACTTATGTGCTTGGCTCACTGGTATTCTCCAGTCATAAACCTGAAATACTTATTAAACCATAAATTTTATAGATTCACCAAAATCATTGCTTTTTACACTATTCTTTAGGTACAATGAGGTTTAGGAGGCAAATGACAATAACAAAGGAGAATGCAAGTAATAGAATGAGAGTACTGATTGTTTACATTTCATTAGGTGCCTTTCTCCCTCAGTGCCAATGCTAGTGGCATTGTGCAAAAAAATTATAATGTTCCCATTTTAAAAAATGCTGCTGTTTTATTTTCATATTTTAAGAATATTTGGCTCATTTGTCCCAGATTTGGAATAACAACCCCTCTCTACATACTAGAATTTTAGAATTTATTACTAAAACTAATTTTAGAAAAGCTTAATGCAGAGGGGAGTTCTCACCTGTAACTCTTCTGTACCTGGCATACCATATTATGTTACAGCCTGGGTGACTTTTCTAGTCACAGAGTATTGTCTTGATTTCTAGCCAGATGACACTCAATTATACCCATAAACAGGTTATTTCATCCCCTTACTCCATTTTACTTTGAATGTACAATCTAATAATCCAGTAGCAGCTCTCAGTGGGTCAAACTCTTAAAGTTCAAAGGACTTCTAAAGTGTAATTGCAGACAAAAGAGTCCAGGAATAGGTCAAAACCAATTAACTAAAATCTACCTGAAATAAATGAACTTCTTTGGCTTCATCTAAAGTCCATAGAAATCTACAGGAAGAATACCACTCAAAGTTTTAGACCAAGTGATACATCACACCCCATGAAAATTGCAAGAGTGGGCTTCTGGTAACCTGCCATTGTATGCTAAAGGGAGTGTCAATGGAGAAAGTCCAATTAATTTCACAGCTATCTTAAATATGAATTACTGGTTGTTAAATGCAGCCTAATAAGGAAAATGGTAAGAAAAAAAGAAGGTCCAGAATTAATTATTTCTGTATTTGTTTGGGTGAATGAATCTAGATTTTGAAATCAGAAGCTTGCCTTATTCCAAGTTGATAGGAAATTTGTTTCTCCATTAATCAAGTTTTGTTTTATCTCAGTTAAGGGGAAACATAATACACCTTATGGTTTTTTTTAGTATGATAAGCAAATAAAATCTTTCAGATCCCATAATTCCCATAAAGCTGTTTGTACAAGCTCAAAAGCATCCCACTGGGTAGTACCACTTTCTTCCTCAATTTTAGTGATAATGTAGTATGATATTTTTGCTCCTAAGTCTACTTTTCCTGAGACATTTAAAATTAGTGCAGGCTCTCCAGGAAGGCCTTTGTAACAACCATAAGTCTCCAAGTCTATCCATTCTCTGCTTTGTAGCACAAATAAATCCTCCTACTAACATATATGATTTCCTGCATTTTTTACTTGAAACCTTTTTACTCTTTAAAAATACCATGTTAGATTTCCTTAACCAAAGAGGTACACTCACCAATAAGCATCCAAGCAATAGGACAAGTCGAGAACAGAACAGCAGGCTTGAAATCAGAAGACTGCTTAGTCCACAAAGTACCCAGAGATAGTCCTCATGACACAGAATCCCAAGAATCTTTTCTTATAGAAAAGTGAATAGGTACAAAGAGAGACAATTAATGAGTAGCTCTAGCATATCTTGAGGGCAGTATCAAGTGAATACCTAAATATACTTACAGGTCTGCTCACAGGTGATGGGCCTTAATGGCCCTGAACAGCCTCACCTAGGGCCTTCACTCACACTCCCAGCCCTGCTCCTGCGTCAGCAGGAGTGGTGTCTTCTAACTTAGCTACACCTTCCCACAGGCTCTACTACTAATTGCAGGACTGTGTCTGACCCTGGATCCTTTCACTGAATAGGACCATGGCCTGCAGGTTAGTTCCCTGGCTTGATCCTAGGGCTTGTCTCATTACTGCAGCTTTACCTAAAGGTTGCATTGAGTCCTGAGGTGAGTACTGGGGAGGCCAGCCTTCCAGAGCCTTCCCCCTATAATCCTCTGTCCTGAGCTCTAGTGTTCCACAGCCTTGTCCCCCTGCCTGGGTTCCCTGTGGGACCTTTTCCTAGCACTGGCCTGGGTAGTGGTGGTGTGTATCTCCGGGGGGCAGCCTTGACCCTTTTCAGTCCCTCATGGGCGACACCTTCTCCAAATCTCTTCTGTAGTGTCCCTTTCCTCATCTGCTGTACGTGGCTCTACAACCCCCCAGAACAGGCCACTGAGTCCCTGCATCAATGACAAAGTCACTCCAATCCCAGATGGGAGGTATGTTGATGAGCGTGCCAAGGAGGGGAGGCTGCTGCCAGGGCTCTGGGTGCACTGCTAAGTGTTAATGGCCCTGATCGGCCTCACTTGGGACTCCACCTGGGCCCAGGACTCAGATGAAATAGGGCCTCTGGGCACTCAGCTCCTGCCTGGGTGAAGCTGGAGGAGCACTGCTCTTTAGCTTCTCTCTTGTGCTTGGCTGCTGTCTTTCTGGCTTGACCATGGTTGTGCCTCATCACTGTGACCTTGCCTGAGGATTGGGACTCCTGGTTGAAGCCTGCCCTGCCCATCTCATGGTGTCCTGTGTGGGGGTCCCCAGCTGGCAAGGCCCTCGCCCTGTTGGGAGGTGTTACTATGCATGGCTTCTTGTGCCTTAGAGAGTCAGCTAGCCCTCACAGCTCCTTGCGAATTTGAAAGCACCAGGTCTTGTGTGTTGTGTGTTTCTCCCCACCCCTAGTTGTTTCTTATTGGGTTTGGACTGTGTTCATTTTAGATAAATGGCAATTTCCCTAAATTTCAGGAAACCTTTAGTTCCCTGACTCTTGTTCAGCAGAGCAGGCCCTGTTTTTCACAGGGAAGACTTGGTCACTGGATGCTGTTCTTAAGCATTATGTTACTTTTCTCACATATTTTTGTAGTGTTGCCCAGTCTGGGAATCACTTCCTCAGTGCGATTTAATTCAGCTCTGACCTAATCCTCAATATGCTTCAGAGAAGTTAAAAACTTCCGATGGCAGATCTTTAATGTGGTTCTTTGTCGTTTCTACTACGTTTCTGTTACTAAGCTTGGTAGCAATTTTCACAGTGGATCTAGAAGTCTTTTGAAAGTTAGCTGAAAATTAAGATAATTGGGTTGGTTGGTTTGTTTGTTAATTTTTCCTGTGCAATCTGTTTGGGAGTTTGCATCCTCTCTGATGCAAGCACATACTATGTATGTGCAATTTGCTCTGAGGTAGGCATGCTCAAAAATCTGTGAGTCCCTCAGTACACCATCTTGGGTGTGTTTACATTGTGGCCCAAGAAATGAGAAAGCAAGGAAATTAGAAGTGTGGTGATGGGAAACCTCAGGGCTATTAGCTTGGTCTCACAAACAAGGAGGTCACAAAGGCAGCTTTTGAAGAGAGGTGGCTGCAGGTGAAAGAAAGTGTGTAATGGCAGCAGTCAAGGAGGACTCAGGAAGGACAAGGAGGTATGCTGCCAGGCAGACTTCAGGGGACCATGAGTTACAGTAAGGTGCAGGATGCTGCTGGCTTCTTAGAGGAGGTTCAGGTATGGGAAAGCTGGATGCCACTGTCATCACATCGTCAGAGTCACTATATTGACCAGAGGGAAATACCTAGAAACACTATAAATAGAAGTGGAAACTGCTCTTGTACTCTGAAAGCAGTGTATGTGGCAAAGTTATAAGGGTTTTAAACAGAAGCCTTAATTACCAATTTGCTTTTTTCCTTTAAATAGTTGTAGGGGGGCTATTTATTGTGGTGGGGTTTTTTTCTTTTTTAATTATTAAAAAAAAAAGATTTTTTTTTCTTGAAAGGTATATGAATTTCAATGATTTGTTCCCACATCCTGTTTTCTATAGTACTGATGATGTTTTGATTTACCTTTTCAGGTCCTGTCTCTCACTGAAATACTTTGGCCATGTGTGCTTTTCTTGATTCTGGCTGCAATCCGCTTCCAGGAGCCCCCAAAATACAGGGAAAACTGTATGTTTTGTTTCACCTATGTTCTATTTTGGTCACTTCTGCTTGTAGAAGTACTTAGGAAATAGTAAAAGATATCCTAGAAGGGGGGACTTAAATGTAGTGGAGTCAATTGAAGGAATCCTACAATGGGATTCAGTCTTGTCTAGCTGGATCTGAGCAAGTCATATTTGGTTGGGAAAGAAATAAAAAATTTAAGGTCTGATTTGTCAGATCAGTTTTAGACATCTGCTTTGGAGTAAGGTGGATCCCTTGGGTTGTAGTTTTACTTATTTCTTCCTGTTGAGAAATGGAGTTTAGATGACTGGCTCAGAGGTAGAAAATTAGGTCCTAGATATTAACAGTTAAACAAGGTGAATCTTACCCTTATCCACTTCCTGGGATTTTAAAATGAACATTTTGTAAATAATAAATTCTTTTATTTCCATCAACATTTCAAAACTTGTTATAACTACCTCCACCTTATAAATTTTTTTTGCTTTTATCTTGTCAAATGTTAACTTAATTAAGAAAAAAAATGACCTGTGGTATTATAGTCTATTCAGTTTATTATTCTGTTATTCACAGTTGTCAGTAAACTGGGGATAAACTGACTTTAGCTACATTAGAAAACAATTTGGTAAAACAGTTTATAGATCTGTAGAGTGAAACACCTGGAGAGAATCTTGCCTCCACTAGCTCTAGTCTGGACCCAAGGATGCAATACCTGCTAATAGTTTGAGTACATTAAGTGTGTTTTTGGAGTACCTCTGCATTGTTTTAGTAGAGAGGGATCCAGTGTATGTTCTTGGAGAGCTTTCCCCAGTGTGGTGTGTGCTAAGTAAAAATAACTCATCTGAAAATGGCATTGATCATTCACAACTCAAAATTCATTATTTTGTACTGTACATTGTTTTTGTATGTTATCAGGTACAGTTCCTGAGGAATGAAGGATGGTTTGACTAACAGTGTAATTTTTAATGGTACACGTCTCAAAAATATTGACACCTGAATTTAAATAAAATTAAGGTTTTTAAGTATTGTGTGCATGTAATGAAGTCCCCATTTTGGCATCTTTCAATTCTGAATATTCAGTAAAAGAGTGCTAGTCCAAATACTAGCTTTCATACCTCCTCATTTTATTCCTTTAATTTTAATGTAATGGTTGCCAAAAAAAGGTTACCCAGAGGAAGGGGGGAATGACCTTTTGAATATTTCTCAATTTTAAGCTGTTTTAGACAGAGAAATCAAATTTTGTAGGAACCCTAGAGCCATTTCTTATGTTTCAAAGTAGTCAAATGTTGCTTTATATTTTGAAGTTTAAATTCTCAGAACTATGGAGAGAGATAAATTGCAGAGGTATGCAAAAGCTGCTGTTTAGACAGTCTTAATGGCTGTACATTCAGACCTTCCTTCATCTATGAAAGCCTGGGAGAAAAGAGGGAATAATGTTTTGTGAGAGGTCTATAATTCTAATTTAGGTCACAAGTCATTTTGGGCAGAGAGACTAGAAAGCATATGATGTTAAAATGGTGTTAGTACCTTGAAGTCAGCTTTATCAAAGACTGCTCTCAAAACTTATACCCTGTTGTCACAGTCTGACACAGAGGTTATTAATTTTCTGTGGTGAATTACTTGTTCTTAAATGGGACACCTGCCATCAATGTAACTTCATTGTTTGCAGGTGGCAAAGCCACTTCCTAGGAGAAGGGACCACAATTTGCTGGTACAGGTTTGTAACTGCAACGTTGCTGTTTTTAATTCTGCTGCTCTTGCTTGGTTTTAGGTTACTTAGAAGCTCGTGATTTACCAAGTCGGGGCCTTTATCCTTTCATGCGGACCCTTTTCTGTAATGTCGGTTCAAGATGCAAGAATACTAGTTACGCAACACAGAAAAACAACCGCTTACGGTAAGTGATAAGAATTTGACAGACCTGTTGGTACCATAGTGCACCTTTTCCCACAGCAAAGGTTCTTACTGTCTTGTAGACAAGTAGAACAGGAGCTTTGTTTCTCTGGGCTAAAAGTTGCACTCAGCATCCTTATGAAAGCAAAAGCTGTAGGGCCTTAGTCATGCCTCTTCCAAATTTTTGTTTGTCTTTCCTGGGCATTTCTTGCTGTTACTTGATACTGAAAACTGCTGCCATGTGGAAATGCACTTTTATCCTTCAATAGAAAGTCTTTTACTACATGAAGCTGAAAGTGAGCAACAAAAAGTATGTCATATATGGATTTAAACTTGGAATATTTTGGGATCATACCTGGTGGGAGAAATAATCGCAGAAAAGTAAAAGAAGGATAGTTCTCAAGTAAGACCCATAAAGGGCCAAAAGGGAGTAGCAGAAGCTCTGTGATAAAAAGAACTTGAAAAAGTAGTCTGCAAGAGGGCCTGGTCACAGCATTCCGGAATGGAGAAAGAAAAAATGAACTTGAATTTGGGCGTTTTATTAACAAAAGCAGTCATTTCATCTACTTCAACAGGTTGAAAAACATTGAGATGCAAGGACACTTATACAAATTGGCTGAAGGAGGTAGTCATTAGCTCACCTTAATTTGATTTTATTGTTATGTATTTTGAGAAGTTGCTTAACAGAATAAATATGTGTATATATGCATGTTTATTCTTAGAAAATTGAGAATTTCTACCAAAAAAAAAAAAATCTCAGAGGTCTAACCGGCATAAGTATGCAAGAGTATCAAGTTTTTATGGTCTATTATTGTAAAAATTCATAGGTAGCACTAAATTCAGCATGCAGCAAGTTGCAAAGCTTCAGTATCACAGTAATAGGCCATAATACTTACCGTATGATCTAGACAGTCTGTTCTAGTTATTTGTAGATATAGAAAGCTGCTGATTGAGCATAAGAATATGGAAAATAAATCTGTTTATGGGCAAATGCCTTCTACATAAAGCAGTAATTTGTTAGTAGAATTGAAATCTTAACTGTTTAAGCCACAAGTTGTTATTAGTCCAAATACAGTGTCACACAACATATACACAGAAATAACAGTATTGCAGTAACATCCCTAAAAAAATTTCTCATAGTAATACAGTTAAATTGTTACACAACCACTTAGTTTCTACTCCTTTCGCTGGGGTTATGCTCACATTTCCACAGCTGCTCTGGATCATAAGGTCAGTGGCTGCAATCTGGTGGGGGGGAGGAATGTGCTGTTGATGGCTTGTTTTTCACTCTAGGGTGCATTTGGACTCCCTTATGTTTGCTCTTGTACTTTTATAGCTTGCTTGTTCTCCATTGGTCTGCATCAGTGATACATCTGAATGTACATGGTATCTCTCGCCTATTTTAAGTACCTGGTTTTCTTTTCTTGATACTTACGAAGTGGCTTTGTCTAACTATACTTCACCAGTTTAACTAACCACTGGTTGAGATGTTTATAGCTATGGGGTCCTCCATGCCAGCCTGTGCCCCAACTCCTATCATCTTGGACCTGTACTCCAGTACAGCGCATCCTGTGTCCCCATTTCTCAAGGCCTCTACTATTACACTGGACTTGCGTTCCTCTGCACTGCTTCGCTATGTTAACAATAAATACCTCATTTTGCACTGCATGATCACTTTTTACTACTATCTGTATAAAACTACAGTGGTATTATACAATGACAAGTGACAGTAAAGCCAAGAGCTGTTGCCATCTGGGGGAAAAAAAAAAAGAAAAAAGTTAAAACTAAACCAAATCAAAACCAAAACTGCAGGCATGTTAACACAAGTTCATACAAAGCAAAGGTGTCAAGCCTCTGTGCCATGGTCTTGCAAGCCTAGTGTAAAGCCTGTAGCCTTTCACTTGCAGTGGCAACACTGTATTACTGGGTTATAGCATTACAATGGTTGTTGGCCTTTCTAAAAATTGCTTCCTGAAAGGATAGTGTTTATTTATATTACTGATGGGGGGGTTGGAACTAGATGATCTTTAAGGTCCCTTCCAACCCTAACCATTCTATGATTCTATGATGCCACCTAAGTGTGTTAAACATCTAGAAACAATGAACTATATTGACTGCTCTGCATGATTATTTACATTGCTTTCGCTGAATTGCCCAGACTATATTTCAGCTCAAAAGAAAAGCTGGAAAGCATTTCCTGGAGGCAGTCTTAGACCTACTTTAAAAATTGGGGAAATTATTCAGTGGTTTTCAATTTTTCAACTGAAAACCAAAATACATGCATATATGTGTATTTATATGCTCCATAGGCTACACTGAGTTAAGGAAAAGGGGTAGAAGGAAAAGGCAAAACAAGATGAAGTTCATTCTGAGGTCAGTCTATTCCAGCAGGTCCATCAGTATAAATTAAATCAACCTCAGGGCTTCTCTGACTTATGCTGGCTGCCAACAGCCTTAGGAATACAGACTCTCAGCTTGATCAGCCGAACATAACTGAATCCTACAATGTCCCTGTGTTGACTGGAGAGAAGGGGTGGCATAGGAACAGTGATACCAATTATCTTCCCTTCTAGGTTTTATATCAAACCATAGGTGGTTCTGTATAATAATTTTCAGCGACATTTCTGGCATCAGCATATTGCATTTATTAAGGGTAAAGAAGAGACTGTGCATAGTTTGCATGGACATTTAGCACACCTGTATGGACCACATCAGTGCTATCAGTTTGAAATAGAGTTACTGCCTTTTGTAAAAAGTAATTGTATGACTTCTGTTGGAACCTCCACTATGAAAGACACAAACCACCCAAATTGCTACCTATCAGTGAGCAGCCTGAGCAGGGCTGCTCCATGAGGAGGGCTGAGCCAGGGGTTCAAGTCATCCTGGTGCAGGCCATGTCCTCATAGATGTGGTGCCAACCCCCAGGCAACAGGATCTATCAACAGCCTCTGATATGGTGAGAAGACAAGCCAGGTGAAGGCTACAACTACCTTGTTAAGTTTGATTTGCAGCAAAATCTGCCACCTCCCCTGATGCATCTGAGAGCATCCAGTTTTCAAGAACTCTGAGGCTTTGCTCCTCTTCAGCCACTGCAATAGCTGCTAGTCTGCAGTTCTTCGATGTGATTCCCCAGCCTGTTGCACCCAGCCGTATTTCACAGCCGGAGAGTAAGGAAGTATTTAGGAGCTCCCATGACAAAGGACATTTTTCATTGCTCTTTCCATAACATTCCACCCCCCACCTCATCTTAATGGATTATAGAGTAAAATTGAGGGCATATAAATAAGATAAAAATCATGCAGCACAGAGTCCTAGGGCCTTACACCCACATCCAGAAATCAGAGTGCATGTGCATGGAAACACAAATGTATTCCCAGTACTCTGCATTCAAGTGCAAATCTCGCAGAATGTGGTGGAACTTGCCCATGCAGCTCAGACTCCTAGATCTAGGCTTGTTAGACTTCTCAATACCTAAAAGAAAATCAAACTTAGGTTTTTTCAGTCTTACAACTTACAAAGATCACAAAAAAACAAGACTCTAAAAAAAAAAACACCAATCAAAAAAACCCACATTTTAAAGTGCATTAGTTTATTTCTCTTTACTTAGCCACAAGTAGTAGCAGCCTGAGCAGCCTCACCCTGTAGGTCTGTGGAGCTCCAGGTCTGTCTCTGGCATCTTCTCCTGGATGGACCCCTCGGTCCCACGTGGTAGTTCTGTCTCCTTGTCACCTGACTGGATTCCTGGGCTCATCCTGCTGTGTTGAGGCTGTTGCTGGAGCCTGTGATCCACACCCGTCTCTGCCTTCTGGATAGGATCCTGGAGGACAGTGCCCCATTGATGAGGGCATTGCCTCATCCAGGGCTGCCTCAGCTACTAGCTTGGCCCCACCCATGATGGTCCCTTTTTTGTTACTGGTTTTATCGCTACCTGGGCCTCTGTGGTTCTCTAGTGGAGTAGTATTGGAAGAGCTCATGTATGAGAGTGTTTGAGAGCAGGTGTGGAAAAACAAAATCAAGGAAGGTCTAAGCAACAACGATAGTACTTGCATAAGAATTACTTAGGGGTCAAATTTTTCTTTCATGATGTGTATCTTCAAAAAAAAAAAAAAGAAATAATTCGGCAAAATAGCTGTACATCTGCAGCAGCTTGTAGGAATAGTAACTCTATGTGGTCTGGGCAAGCCTTTGTAGCTTTATGTTATGTAGTTAGAAAACAGAAACCTAAGCAATTTTCCTGATCTTGACTATAGATTGTCAGAGAGTTGGGGAGAAAAGGAATTTTAAACATGAGGTTTTGCCATTTTATAGCCAATTAAGATCAACACTTTTTTGGTTCTTTATATTTTTTTGGTCCATTGCATTTTAGAAGGGTTATAATACCATGCAACATAGAGGGGAAAGATCTTTCCTTTCTGTGACAGACACACAGTAAGCTATTGTCCAGCATGTGTACTGGTGTTGATGGAGATGTCATGTCTCCAGGCTGTCCTGAGATGGTGCTGAACAGGAGTCAGCACAGCTGGGGCTTTGTAATTTTAGAGAGATTTTTTTTTTATGTGGTGACAGGGGAGAGGTTGAGACGAGAGCTTGCTGAGAGGCTTATGAAAATCACCGGTCTAAAAGGCATCGCACATCATAGCTGAGATCTCAGATGAGCTCTGAAACATTCTTGTTGTCATTGTGAGTAACTAGGTAATTTGGACAGAATTAGCACTTCTGAGTCATGACTTTAGGAAATCCCGATTGTTTTTTCATGCTCAGAGAAGTAGAATCTTTTTGCTCTTTTGCAGTGTTTTGTCATGATCAAAACTCATATGAATGTCTTCAGTTTGATTTCTGTCCTTGTGCAAGTATTTCTGAAAATGCACAGTTAAGGAAAGTTACCATGGATGATAATGAAATAATATATATACACATGCACACTTTTCTCTTAACACCCCAGTCCTAATTATGTATGTCCTCTCCTACAAATTACTGGCTTCCTCCTTTTGTCCTTTTTATCATCCCTTGCTTTATTGTTCCTATCAACTGCTGCTGTTGACTTCCTTTACACATACACAGTGAGTTAATGTAATCTTCTGCCCCAGAAAGCACACACTGGAGGCTCTTCGGGAGAGTAGCAGTACAACAATTAAGTATTTTTGTTGGCACACTGTCTGAAAATTGCGTCTCTTTCCTCTCCCTACAGCTGGTTTTGAAGCTCAGTGTCTTATCTCTTTGGCAAGATGGTGACATCTTCCTGCAATTTTGTGTAACGTGCTGAATTAAGAAACTCGTATTTCATAGCACTCTTATTCAGAGATAAAAACGGTCCCATACTTTCCTGTTGAAAATATATTAAATCCTTTAAAACTTAGCAGGGATATTCAGCAAATGGAACCTCTGTGATATTTTCATCTGTTTCATAACACTGAGCCCGGTGACTAACACCATGCCCGTTGCCGTTTCCTTTTCCAAAGGAGGTTGCAATCAGCTCCAAGAGCAGCCGGAGGAAGGGCTATGGCAATGACGGTAAAAAGGGTGCATGAGTGGCAGCTGGCTGACGTGGCTCCTGCCCTGGAAATCCCCATACAACTAATAGTTCAGGAGCAACACGTCCCAACGGCTGCTGTCATCCTGCTGAGAGGCTTGTGCTTGGGAATGTGGTGCTTCTACAAGTTTTTCAGGTTGCATTTGTCATCTTCTCTTCAGTAATACCTGGGCCTGATGTCTGGTTTATGGTCCTTCTTCCAAACTGTAAAGATCTACACCTCCCTACTGTTTCCCAGCTCTCCCTCACCATCAACCTGCTTTTCCCTTCCCTTCTCCCTGGAGCTCTTCAGAGCCACCACTCTCTGTTGCCAGTTATTTTCTTTCTTGTTTCTAGCCTGTGTCTGTTCCCCAGTCCCCACCTTTGTACTCTGTGGGACCCCTTGCAGGGCAGTGGCTTGTCTCCCAGCCCTCAAGCTCGGAGACACTGAAGGGATGGCCCAGATGAGCTTGATATCCTGCACGGGCAAGGGGCAGAGCAGGAGGGCTAAGCAGGCTGCTGCCGCTGCCTGCACCTAGGGCAGCATGACCTGCAGCCTTTTCCCCAACTTCTTAGCTTCAGAATGTTTCACTGATAGCTGTAAATCTTCTTGTGAACCAAGTGAGGAACAGCAGACAGAATTTTCCCCTGCTCGTACTGGGGGGTGGGGGAGTTCTGTTTTCCTCTTGTTTGAAAAATTATTGCTAAACAGCCCCTGCTTATCTATCACATTTGCTACCGAAGTGCCTCGAGAACCACTCGCTGCTCTGCTCATGCAGTGTGAGGCTGAAAGGTTTCTGGGCTGGGATTGCTCACAAGAGATTCAGATTAACAGAAGTGATTAATGTTCACACAATTCAGCCTGTGCTATTGGTGTGCTTCTGCTAGGCATCAAACAGCTGGCTATAGCACATAAAATTAGATGCTAAGAGTTGGGTGGGGTTTTGTTTTGTTATTGTACCCCTGCTCTTTCTCAACCCAAGTTTGCAGATCCAAGGCGCTGCAGAGTCAGCAAGGGAGGTAGAGAGGAGGGAGTTACTAACTCCCGCATCACTGTCACCTGTGCATCCTGCTGCTAGCAGGGAGGCTGGGCACCACCAGCAGCCCAGGCACCAGTGCTGAACCCAGGTGTATACTCTTGTGTGACTAAAAGTGTCCTTTTCCCCAGAGCATTGTTGTTTGCAATGCTTCTAAACCTGGGAGATTTGTACGTGGGGATAAAAGGCTTATGTCTGGTTTGGAGGGAAAACAACATAGGTTGAAATACTGCCTTTATGTTCCACGTCTTTGAATACTTGTGACTATTTTAAGTGACCCTGTTTTCTGAGTTGTCAGTTTAAAGTTCAGCAAGTTCTGTGGACGATCCTGAGGAAACTGAGAGTATTGGTTTTCTAAAGTTCTGACTGGATTTGTGTTTTAACCAATGTGTCTGTTATTCTGGTCAAGCACTGGCCACTTGTTCATGTCCAAAAAGCACAGTGCTAGAAAGTTTTCAGCATGCAGTCAGTGTTCCTGTTCTTTGCAAAACACCAGTGTTTCTCTTTGTCTGAAATTTCAGGCAGTAGGCATGTTAGCAGTATTGGAATTTCTGTGGTAGTTTTCAAAAGTGATAGGTAATGTGCAACTATTAATCACCATAAAATCTGCCCTCTGAACAACAGAAATCTACTTTTTAAAGCTCTGTTTAAAAGGGACAAAAAAAAAAAAAATGTGTTGAAGAATTGTTCTGCCTTTAATCCATTGAAGTTTGAGGCTGGTGCTAGTTTTCCAAAATCCTATTGACTGTCAGCCAAGTTGGGATCAAAACAAGCAGTGCTGAAACAATCAAGAACTTGATTGTTTTAAGATTAAATTTTCTTCTCATCCCTTAGTCTAAAGTCACAGACAGGCTCTGTGGGCGTCTGAACAAATGAGGATCAGGGAGGGATGGAAAGAGAAACGAGGCTTAGAAAGCAGTGGCTCTTTTTTGTTTTACATTTTTTGCTTCTGTTTGTGCATCTATCTTACTAGCTTTTTCTTCACCAATATGTAAAAATTATGCTGAAAACTAGTATTCACGTACAAGTTTGATAAGAAAGGAATGTAGCTATTATTTTAAGTGAGACTTTTGTGACAGTTAATTGTGCTTCTAATGAAAAATAGCAGTACTTTTGCTACACAGGGTTTCACCCTAAGACAATTTGAACTTCTGATAAGATAAAATAGAATTCAACTGCCTAGTAAAAATGATTATTCCTAGCTAACGATGATTATTCTATTGTTTATGGTGCCTTGGGAGAGTCTAAGTTACTTTGTGCTGTACAGAGACATTTAAATGACTTTCTGACTTCTGATTTCATCTTGAAAGTAGTTGGAATTGAGTTTTGCTGTTGAGTAGCCACCAGATGGTAGCATGATCAAGATAATGGAGATAACCTCTATGGGGGGGTCTAGCTGTTAGTTAAAATCAGGGGAAAGCCAGTAATGATAATAGGATACTCTTTTTATAGGTTGTTGAAGGTATTTGAACAAAGAAGCTGTCGTATCCCAAATACAAACCGTGTAGGTCTTCCTAACAACAGACACTTCCTCTGTGTGTGTCAGCATACGGCAGAAATATGTAGCCACAGACACCGCTCTCCCTTTTCAAGCAGAAGGGTACTTTTGAGGACTACATCATCTGGGATTAGCATACGCTTGTTAGTATGGATGTTTTCTTTGTGAAGGTGGTGGTATTATTATCATAGTTCTGTTGCTTAGTAAACTAACTAAAGAGGAAGCAGCAACTTTCTTCAGGGCCCAGGAAGCAGCACTTACCTATATTTCATCTGGTGATATTGACCAAGCTACCTGTTCTGGCTGCTGCAGATGCAGTAGGACAGCCTGAACGTCAGAGTACAGGAGATCAAACAACCATCACCTGACTCATGATAAACCAGGGGAGAAAATTTGATGTGTTCAGAAACATCAACGTCTTCAAAGTACGTGTCTGGCTGCTGCCAGAATTGGGTTACTGGCATGGGTGAGCTTCTCCAGCTCTGTAACTTTTCATTGCCCTCTTTCCTGAGGTTTTGAGACTTACATGTTTCAAGTTCATTAACAACTTGAATGTTAATGAACTGAATAAAACCTGTATAAATGCATAATAGAAAAAAATCAGAATAGTGCTGTGAGTATATAAACATTTTTAGCTACTTGCTTCCAGTTTGTAATTACCTTCCCTGTCCCCTTTCTTTCTGTAAAAAAAGTTCTTCAGGTATGCAAGCTGGTCCAGAGAGCTTCAGAGGACCTGATCTAGGCTTCCTGAAAGAGGTAGAAGAACTTGCAAAGGGATTTATTGAGACCACAGAGAAAACCATTGCTTTAGAAAAGCTATGGGGGGAAAACTCAAAGTTCTCAGGTAAGCTGTGATCTTTCTAATAGTTAATTGCTTTGTCTGTCAGGTAGTGATAACGACTGGACAAAAAGAATACTTTTATTTAAAAAAGAAATGCACAAACTGAAATTTTAACTGTCCTGAAAAAAGCTACTTTTATGATTACTGTTAGTGTGGCTCTCAGGAAACGGTTAGCTTTCTGAAACCGTGCTCTTGCTTTACTGCTTGATGATAACCAAAATTCTGTAAGGGGAAAGGTTCAAAAATAAGGATTAACAACCTGAGTACAGGGTTACTTGGTCCAACATGCATTCTAAAGTAACTTACCAGGATTTAAGTCTTTCTCCCAGTTTTTTTCGGTTGTACTAGAGAGTGTAAGGTTGGAAAACCTCAGTAGCTCACACCTGCTGACCTTTAGGGAGGCAAGTCAGCCTCACACTAAACGGTGAGACTGGAAGCACCAAGTTTCTGACGCTCCTGCTCTGTTCCCGCGCATACTGTGCACCCTTGCTGCTGTAGCAGGCAGACATTTAGGACCTACTACTACTCTGAGTTTCTGGCTGAGTTTCCAAGCAGGAAGATTTGGTGACACTGTCATTTTCCCGCCTGGATGTCTGGGGGCTAAAGTGATCATCTAGTGTTGATATGATGATTTTTCCTTACTGAAAAGTGAATCATAGGCAGTTTCTTTGAAGTTGTTTTTCTAGTAGTAGTAAAAGTATTGGAAAGCACAGAAAATCATGTGTATTGCTATCTTTCTAGGGTATTAGTTGTTTCATATGCCTCTACTTCTGTAGCAATGCCCTTTGTGTACCACTTGCTATTGCTTATAAAATTGATTCTTCTGATGTTAATAGTGCCTCTCTGTAAAGGAAAATATTTGATTTTACAGGGCTACATAACATCACTGATTTTCTTACTGTAAGTATTTTTACAGTCTGTTTCTAAACTACAACTCTGGGTTTTGAGGTGTCTTTATTATAATGGCTAGAAATTTGTATCCTGTGAAGTTTTAGTAAACTGTCTTAAAAAATTATGATATGCTGTTGAAGGAAGAAAAAATCGTGTCTTGTGAATTTGCTAGAGATTCAGTAGTTTCTAGATTACTAATTTAAACTAGTTTAGATTGTTAGTAGTTAAAATCCACAGCTGTTTGAGAGCTAATTGTTCATTAGGAGCCATTTAAAAGTGCATCTGCCAGATCTTGTGTAGTTGTATAAAATCATATTACAAAATATCTTGCAAGGAACTCTTATCCTAATATGTACTTATAAATGACAAAACAACCCCCCCAAAACAACCCAAAACTTAAAAAAGGACTGCAGGGAGATCGAAAAAGATAGGGATCTTGCTTGGAGTAGATTACTCTGATTTCATATTTGTGATCCAGCAAACATGGCAAGCAGTCTTAAGTGGGGGTGAAGGAAGACAGATTTGCAAGATGTAGCATAATTCATTCCAAAATCAATTTAGCAGTTTGTGAAATTAGTTTGGTCTTTGTGCTGTCCCTAATGAATTATTCTTTCATCCTTGCAGTCTCAACAAAAAGAGGAAGGCTGAATGGGCACAGTAGTGGATTTCCATTACTGTCAATTTTGTACCTTTCACAGATCACTGGCTTCACTTTAAAAATATCTTAAAATGCATTTTCTCTATATGTGGTTGAATGTAACTGCTACTTCATGAAACCCAGATTTCCAAGATATAACTTGAAATTAGATGGCATTTTTATAGCAACATTTAAAAAAATTCTGATGGGATACTTGAAGGAGCTGCATCAATATGAAATTTTGTTTCTGGATTGGATTATAAATAGAAACAATGGATTTATCAACATTAAGAAAATATTCAGTTGAAAGTAGCCTATCACGATTAGTAACAGAGCTTGTATTTACAAGCTTCTTTTTGTATAAACAGCACTCATATGCCATTATCCAGAAGAGCCCTAGTGAAATATTGATTTAGAGAAACAAAGACTGCATAACAAACAAGTATGATAGATCCTATGTTACGCATAGGCACCTGATAGCATAGTCCTATGAAAGAAGTGGGCTTACCTCAGCCTGTCTTTAAAGAGCCATTCTTGTCAATTCTTATTTTACACACCCCCCACACCCTCAAGGAGTTGTGAGGCAAGGATGACATGTCACTGGCAGTCCCCTGGTCTTTGCACCCTGTTGCAGGGCTAAAGAACTCCCTGTGCTTGGGATCTCAAAGATGATCCTTCTCTTTGGGAGAGAGTTACACTTCTAAGCAGAAAGAGATTGCTTAGCTTTTTTTCCCAGCTCCATTTTCCATCAGAGCAAAGAGAGACATCTGAAAGAAAGCTTCCATAAGTTCAAAGTACCACAAAATGATGTGAATTACCAAAGCTAGAGGTATGTTTCCACTTAAAAAAAAAGAAAAAAGTTAAAAATTCAAGAGGGCAGGGGTAGGGGAAATAACAGACACCTGCTATTTAATTTTCTTTTTCTGTTAATGGAACTGTTGCATGTTAATGTGTTTTCCTTACATAAAGATGGATTTGAATGAGGCAGAAGAAATGATTTCTAGAGCAGAAAACCTGTACAAGCAACCATATTTCTGGAACCTTCTGCATTCACTCCCTCACCTTGAATCAAACAGCTTTTCTGCAGAAGATGGGTTAGCTGCTGTAGCACAGTTTCTAAAAGTTACTGAAAAGTAAGTACTTCTACATGATTGAAACTTCTCTGTTTCAGTATTTTACCTGCAATTCTTGTTCTTCTTGCTGGCTATTTAATAAAGTAAGCACATTTATCAGTGTAAAGAGGCTGAAATTTTCTTCTGTTTACCAGCTTCTGCTTTTATAGAGGTGTGGTAAGAGTTTTCACCCATTCTGATTCCTTCATAACTGTATTTTTCATGTCTGTCCAGCTTAGCAGAGATTTCCTTGGGGAATCCGAGAAGTAGCTTCATCTTTGCAATGGTTGAAATTAGCCCATCACTTAAGATGGCTTTGAACTTTGTATTGTGCTTTGGGACTCTTTAAAAACCAGAGTATTTACATATGAATTTAAGAAAATCATCGTTTCCATTCTAATTAACTTAATATGCTTGTAGCACTTGGTCAATATTGGGAAAATGAGTGCATTTTATTTCTCAAGCCTCTAGCTGTGAAAATGGCTGTTCTCTTGGCTGTTCTCTTGCAAGAAACAAAGCAGTAAGAAAAACCCCATGGAGACTATCCTGAACATGAATGTTTTCTGCCTCGTGTAATGCATGGTTGGATTCAGAGGAAGTCATGGTATCAAAAGCATAGACTAAGACAAGTATCTACAGGAATTTTTAGTAAAAGAACGTGTTTGTTAGGAAAAAGTAAAAAGTGTCTGCCAGAGTAGTTGGTTGTGTAATAGGTTGATAGGTAGTTGTAGTTGTAGTCAATTAACATACTTATAAGATTAGATGAGGTCACAAATCTGGCTGCCTGTGCAAGACTGGCCATGAACTTCACCAGCCTCACCCCACAGGAAGGCAAGGGCCCCAAGTCTCTGAATTTACCCTGTGTAAACACTGCTCAGCAGTGATGAAAGCATCCTGGTGTAATCAACACTGTTCCCAGAACAAATCCTAAACACAGCCCCATATTAGTTACTATGAAGAAAATTAACTCTGTCCCAGCCAAAACCTATGAAACTGTCTTTATTTTTATCCATATGCCTTCTAGCCTTCCATTTATTTTCTTCCTGTCCTTTGTGAGAAGAGACTGAATAAGCAGCTGTGTAGGTGCTTGGCTGCCAGCTGGGGTCAACCAACAAGTGTTTAATAAGAGGATACTCAGATGTTCACATTTTGGTTGTACTGTGGATTTTTTTTTTTTAAGAATTTGGTACCCTTCAATGACCAAATTTGCTGTAATTAATGCAATTTGGAAAGCAAACCAGAAAATCTAATGCTCTCTTCTTGACTAGCTTCATATTACTAACATACGCTATTAGGGGTCATAGCTCAGGTAGAATTCAGTCAGCGGACAGGATCCTAAATTTACAACTTCTCACACTTCTTGGGCTGTACCATCTTTGCTTTACCTCTGAGTTACTTAACAGAAACCTTTCACACCTACTTGGCAAAGTTAGAGGGTTTTGTTTGTTTTGTGTGTTGGGTTTTATTTCCTTCCTCTTGTATATGTTGGAAAGTGCCGATTCACTCTAACAACAATGGATTCTTATTTTCATAACAAAGGAATACTCTATAGGAAATAACTGGTGAATTTGACATAAACTTTAAGTAGTAAATTACAGACACATTAACAAAGACTGAGACTTGTAAGAAATTAAATAGATTAATTTTTATTAATGAATTCTGTAATGTGCTTTGTTTAATTTGTTGTGAGAATAAGTGTTCTGTTGCTTTAAAGGTTGTTTTTAACTCTGCAGATGGGGTGGAAGTAAAATATAAGTATTCTGTGTCCATCCTGTCTTGTGTTGGTATCTGGGACAACTCTTAGGGTGGTTTTGATGTAATTTTGCACCCACTTTTAATTCTCTTATCTATTTCTTTTTTTTTGGGTGGGGGGGCATTGGTCCTCTTTAAAGGACATTTCCTTAATGAAGACTAAGTGAAACTCTAACTGTAAAAATCATGTGGTTCTTTTTAATGAAATGTCTAATTTGACAGAACATCAGTTTTTGAATAATAAAATATTTTAATATTCAGCTGCTTGAATTTAATCTTGTTCCACCAAGTCCTTTCTGTTTTTCTGGATATATAAAGAGCTTGATTTTTGTTTTATTTTTCACTTTCAGTATCTTAATTTCATTGAAGGATTTGGCTATCATGCCATTGAGCAAAATTTTCTATCAAGTGGTGAAAACAGCACTGAATTTAACTGCTGCGTCAATACAGGAAAGGAGCTTAGAAGGTAAGGAATTTGCCTCTTTTTTTATTTTTTTGAAGCACCTTGTGTGCATTCTGGGAGTATGTGATAGCAGTAACTGTTTGTGCTTCTGCTAAATTCCTATTGTAAAAGGTCTAATTGAACGATATTGCTGCAGTGCTAACTCATTTCTTTATTGATCTGTTTTTTAAATACTAATAACTAAATTTAATCAGACTGGCAACTATTTGATAAACAAAACATGTTGGTCTAATATATCTAATGGTCTTTCAGTTGTGAATTCTGGAGAGAGACTAAATCACCGCAAAGAATAATTCCTTGCATTCAGTGGGAGGGATAGCCTCTTGTTTTGGACATGCATGTTAAGCATTACGGCTGTTTTACTTTAAGCTTCATTCTTCTCTTATCGTAAATTCTCATCTCAGCCGAAGGGCTAGATCAGTCTCCCCAGCTGCTGCTTGGGTATGGGAGATGAGTTTAACTGAGAAGGCCCCAGGACAACTCCTCAAGGAAAGGTCAAGAACAAGTTTCATTGGCAACCTGTCTGGTGGCACACAATTAGGTTCTGGGTGCAGCTGTCTGCTTTGCATACAAGGTCAGGCTAAGAATCATACGCAGTCTAAATCCCACTTCAGCTGTCAAAACCAAGACTGAATTGGTATAAACGTGACATGATGGAGCTCTTGCACAGAGGGTGAGCTTAAATTCCCTGGGTCTTCTGGTATTCTCCTGGTGTTCTCTCTCTCAGCAATGATCCTTATCCAGCCCATGCACACACATTTGCATGAATAGATGCATAGTTCAGGATGGCACCCTGCTGGGTCTGCTGGCAGTCGCTGTGTGAGGAATCTCACCAGTATCATATCAGTTGTCAGAATACCATCAGATTAACTGACTTTACCATATTAATAATGCAGTGATGGATTTTATCCTTCTGAAATTGGTGCACGCTTTATTTTTTTAACGTTATTTCAGAAAGCTGGAAACATGGTACTTGGATCTCATCAAGTATGAAACATCAAGAAACAACATAAAAAGCAAGAATGATGTAAACAGAAGGTGTGTGGTGGTGTGGTGTTTTTTTTTTTTTTTTTCTTTCAGGTTTTCAGTATAACCTTTCTCTTGGGGATGTTTTGTGGAATCCACATGCAGTGAGAGTAGAACTTGGATCCAGGTTTGGTTTTGATGATCTTCGTGTTGAGAAGGTGCTAAGTTACACAGCACAATTAACAAAGGTAAACCACTTGAAATTTTTGTCTTTCTCCCTTTCACCTGTGTTTTTGTTGGTACCTGTTGTGGTTTTAACCCTGCAGGCAGCTAAACACCACACAGCTGTTTGCTCACTCCACCCCCTCCAGTGAGATGGGGAAGAGAATAGGAAAAAAGGTAAAACTCGTGGGTTGAGATGAAAACAGGTTAATAGGACAGAAAAGGAAAGGGTAATACTAATAATAGAATATACAAAACAAGGAGTGCACAATGCAATTGCTCGCCATCCATTGACCCATGTGCAACCAGTCACCAAGCAGCAAACTGCTAACCCCCAGCCAGCTCCTCCCAGTTTATGTGCTGCGCATGATGTTGTATGGTATAAAATATCCCTTTGGCCAGTTTGGGTCAGCTGTTCTGGTTGTGTCCCCTCCCAGCTTCTTGTGCATCTCTTAGCCTTCTTGCTGGCAGGGCAGTATGAGAAGCTGAAAAGTCCTTGACTTTGTCTAAGCACTGTTCAGCAGCAACTGAAACATCAGTGATATCAACAGTATTTTCCTCCCAAATCCAAAACACAGTACTAAATCAGCCAGCAGGATGAAAATTAACTCTATCTCAGCTGAAACCTGGACAGTACCCTGAAGGGATTTTTATGCCTTACAGAATTTATAACTTTGTTTTGTGAAGCAGGTAAAAGACTGCCAAATATTCTGGTTTCATTCCCATCAAAATAAATTTACTTAGCTTCAGCTGGAATTTCTGCACATGAAGATGCTTATAGGTCTAGTTGTGTAGATTAATGAATTTATGCTTCTCTGAAGTCACCACTGAGTATGGAAAAGTACTGAGTTTACTATCTAATGCTGTAGAAAATTCTGGGGTTTGTTTCAATAAGCTTTTAAACTAGATCTTGGATTTGCAGCTGCCTGGATTAATTTGGCAGGTAGTGTTTTTGATCTGGTTTGCTGGGCAAAGAATGCCTGTCTCTTCTGTAGATTAAAGCACATCAAGAGTCCTTTCTTCTCAGTTGTGCAGTCTTCATATGAATATACTTGAATGATGAGTTTTCTCAATGAGGCTATTGAAATGCAGAGGTGATGTGTCTAATTGTGAAGAAAATCTCTTTTCTCAGAGAGGGCTTTCTAAGCTTTCTTCTAGACCAAAGTGATCTGTTGCAATGATCTGGTTTGAAATGCAGAAATCTTGAAAACTTTTTTGAATTTCTACAGCTTCTTCTTTTGAAGTTCACAGCTTTTGAATAGAACATGCTGATATTTATCTGAATTCTTTTTGCTCTTCAGAAGGTACAGTCTGGAGCTGTACTCCAGAAGAGCTCGTTATACAAATAGCTGATGTACACAAAGGGGTAAATTATGAAAACACTTGACTTTTTGAATGGCCTTTTAATGAAATATCAGTGTTGACCAGTTTGATCAACTGAACTGATTTTGACTGCAGCCTGTTAGCTGTGGTTGGCTGTGTAATCCCAGGCAACTTGCTAGCTATTTATAGATGAAATATGTTGATACTGTGTGCTTATGTTAGGGCATTGAAGACTCTAAAAAAAGTATGAGGAGAAATATGGAAGCCTGGACAGTGTGTGTTTGAGCACTTCAAATTTGTATGTAATGCCTCAGCTTGTCTGCTGTCAAAACATCTGTAAAATTTCTATTAAATTTTGTAGTCATAGTTGAAAGGAGTTAAGATGTAAAGTGTCTCAAAAACATTAATAAGGAGAATTAAAATATGCTAAAATACTTTTGTATTCTTTAATAAAATTTATATGATTTGGAATAATAAATCTTTCAACACAGAATTTAGAAGTCAGGTTATGAGGAAAAAAAATCTGGCCTCTTGGACACACTGCTGAAACCTGCCAACTTTTAAATTAAAGTAGTCTGCTGCATGTAATCATTGGTTGAGATGTACCATTGTATTGAATGCTTTTTACGTCAGTAATTTTTATACTTCTGAAGTTGCTTTGATACAGTCACTCAAGTGCAAAAATTCTAGTATAGGTGTACTGTATCAGTCACGTTCATTCAGTATCAGCCTGCAAATGACTGTAGAAGTAGCAACACTGGTGTAGCCACACAGTGAAAGTCCCTTGCATGTACAAGCATCATTGTTCTGCCTGGTGTATGAGAACCCTAATGGGGCCACTGGTATTTTGTGCAGCACGCTGCATGTGGAGTACTTTGAAGTATGTGCCCCTGAATATGAGGCTGGATTAAATGGGCTTTGTTCTCACCAAAGGAGTCTATGTGATACTCATTTTTGACCAGATAAGTAAGGTGATAGCAAAAGTAACACTCAGCAGCTCTCTTGAGATGCTCATCAATTCTTATGTCCCTGCCAGATTCCCACAGGAGAGACACTAGAGCAGTTTGTGTGCTCTGCTCTATCCAGTATGCCAGAAAATGAAGCAAAGAAAGAGAATAATGAAGAAGGTTGTATTTCTCCGTGGCATGAGGCCAAACTGTATCTTGTTCATGCTGTCAGCAAGCTTAGACTCTATGCACAGGTACACTTTAATAAATTAATACATTAAATTCCAAATTTTTGCATGTAGGCTGTCAACAGTAACTCTATAAAAAGATCTGAGTTAGCTATTAAATGTTATTGTCATGAACTTCTTTCATCTTGTTAGTAATACAAAGTATCCTTAGAAAGAATCATTACAGTGGAAGTATAATCTGTCACCATGTGTCCACTTAATCCGATTTTGTCATTAACTCAAATACAGATTTGAAAAGTAATAGGGAGTATAGTGAAATATACTGCACTACAGAGGCCTGACAGAAGACAGTAACCCCATTTACTGTCCCACCTGAGACTGAATTTTGGGCCAAACTGAAAACAAACTACAGGCCTCCACTGATACAGTACATAATTTATTTCTCTTTCATCCCCCTCCACTATCTGTGGCAGTAGTGACTGAAGGATGTTGAAGGAGATGAGAGTAAATCTCCAGTGCAGTAACTTAAAATTCTGTTCTAGCAGAACAGCTTGGCATGTAGTCTCTATGATGACATATGTGTAGTTGCGTGAAGAAAAGGATAAACCTTTCGGATGTTTCCTAAGGAAAACACATACCTAGGTGCCTTAACACTGGTGCTTGTTTTTCCACTGAAAGATGGTTTGGAGTGTGTTTTTCCCTGTTAAAAAATATCAGCTGTCTGTCAAGCTGTTCTGGAGATGTTTGCAGTATCATCTAAAGAAAGCATGTAGAGCTTCTCTTGTATTTCCTCAAAAATGTAGCCTTTGATTTCTCCCTTTATAAAGGTTTCACTGATGCATGATGATTTGAAGTAACAAATTAATGTGACTGCCAAAACTAATGCACTAATTCGTCTTGTAGCAGTAGGAAAATCCAGTCATAGTTTCAGATATGATTCTAAAACTCTTATCAAGATCTGCCATCTTACGATGGCAACTTGAAGCACCATAAGCTGCTGGCCACTGGGAATCCCCTTGGTGACCAGGACATCTCTTATGGGAAACCTATTATAACCATTTGACATTAAGAAAACATAAGGGAGAATAGTCAATAGGTGTAGCCAGGCCTTGGCATACCTTATTCTAGCCTACACCATGGGAGCATGCAGGCCTCTTCTCCATCTCTTCATATATTGTGACTGCAAAAATGGTGAGGCTGCTGCTTTCCACTGTGTTGGCAGTGTAGGCAGAAGTCCTGTAAGAGAAAGGAAACATGAGTAATGGACTGTGGAGGTCTGCTTTTTGTTGGTGTTGGTCTCAGGCCATCTTTTTACCATTCCTGGGTCTTTGGGCAAGGACAGCACAGCGTAGGATTCTAGTTCTCTGCATTCTGTAGCATGTTATATTGCCAACTTTCCAGTCAGTACAAACTGTATTGAAAATCAACCTCTGTGAGGCCAGTCATTTCAGTCTAGACACATTGTTAGGGAGAAATTTTACTATCACTGTTAATTGGGGGTGTGGGGGTGGAGTTGGTGTTTTGTGTGGCTTTTTTGAAGATATGCAAATTCTGTGCCTTGTCTAAATACAGAAGCTTTGATTCTCTAACAAGGTGTGTCTTCTATTGCATTCAATCTGCTAGGTATTTGAGCAGTGGTTCAGCGGCAGCCTCTCTCAGAAACTCCTTTTGGAACTTGAAAGAATCACAGCTGATTTAATGTCTCAGTTTCTAGATGACAGGGAAGCCAGGAAACTTTTTTCAGAGATAAATACCGTGATCCAGCAATGGAATGAAAAATCAGATGCCTACTTTCCAGAAGGATATAATTCATCTCATGATCAGTAAGTTATACTTGTCCTTCTGCAACTTGTGTTATAATGTTCAGACCTGCTTGAATATTATCTTCACATTACATTTGACTTCTGATTTTTGTTTTGTGTTTTTATGTTTTATTCTGTAATTCAAAACCTCATAGATGATCAAATAGTTGTGCTGATGCATGCACATGTGAAAAAGAAATTGCAGCAGGGGACCTGAGTACATGAGCAGGACTCGTAGGAATTGGCCGCTGTGTATAATTAAGGATTTTGAACTAGGACCTGAATTCTTTATCTTGTTCTGCAAAAATATTCTCATTCCCACAAACAGCTGCTGTGACTCTGTAATTAATTCTCCTGGACATATGCTATAGGATCAGTCTACTCACGTACAGCAAGTCTGGTGCATCTGAAAGGCTGGATTTTTGTTGTAGCAGTCATACTCGTGTTAGTTTGTGCAGGAGGTCTTGGAACAGAAGCCTACTATGGAGAAGAGAATTATGATGCAATGTTATGTATTTATATAGATGTAGCTTCCAATCCTATCTAGGGCACTCTGAGGTTAACATTTACTTTAATAGTTTTGAACTTTCAAGTTCCCTGTTTGGCTTATGACTTAATGCAAATATAAGCAGTTTATATGAAGATATGGCTATAAGTTCTTTACGTATTCAGAATGATTTGTTTTGTTGAAGCAATCCAAATCTTCCTGTACAGTAGAGTTTTATTCTTTTAGCACTTAGCCACTTAATCTAATAGAAGTCTATTTTGTGGTAACTTTGGAAATGCCTTCAATTACCATTTCTGGACAAGTGCAACTGCAAGCTTGAAAGGATTGACTGTGCTTTCAGGTATTCTGTTTCACAGCATATGTTTTAAAATAAAATCAAGATAACTGTTCCGGGTGATTTATGCAAAAATAAAGTGATTTAAGAGCAGTATTTTCCTATCTAGCTAAAAAAATGAAAACAAACAAAACCCAAGCACAAACCCTCCCTCCCCTTCCACCCTGCCATGCCCACCCCCAAAATCAACCCAACCCATCCCCCCCCAAAAAAAAAAAAATTATAAATGTTCTGGAAGCTTGTACACAGGACTTAAAAGACGTAGATACAGGGAGTTGGTAGAGCCTCATGAAAAGTCTCTGGCAGAGCACAGGAACTGATACTTCTTCTAACTGCACACTGAATGACTTGCATCACTTCTGGGAGTTATAATGTTGGCCTCAATTTGACATTGCTTGCAATAGTTCTACCAGTCCTTCATTGGAGGAGGTGTGATCCATGCTCTACAAATTGACATCTGAGGTTAAATCTGAAAGATGCAGCACACCCTCAAGTGGGAAGGGATCAGGCAATGTCTTTGGTTCTGGATTTGTTGCTGTTTTAATTAACTTATAAAATGGACACAGACCTCTTTCCATTTCCAAACACAAGGACACAAAAAAGTGAAAACAAATGTTTCGTAAGTAAATGATCTGATGGGGATTATAAACAGGTGTATAACTCTTGTGGTTAATCTAACAGTCACTGGTGGAATAGCAGCTACTGCCTCCTTTTCTCCACCTTTGAGTGTTCAGAAACATTTTTATTTTTTTGGCATGGTATGTGGCTTGATAGAAAATGAACTCTTTAATGGGAAACTTCTCTTTTTTTTTTTTCCTTCTTTTTTTTTTTTTTTCCCCTCCTCCAAGGAGGAGGAAAGGAGAGAGGGTTTTTTTGTGTAAATCTTCCTTAACATTAATGACTTTGGTCTTCAGGTAAATTAGTCTGAAAAGAACTAGATTTGTCCATGAAAACAAGTTGTGCTTTCTCCCCTGTGAGACTGAAGAGTCAATGCTGAGAGTCAGCTTCATAGAATCACAGAATGGTTTGGGTTGGAAGGGACCTTAAAGACCACCTAGTTTTAACCACCTGCCATGGGCAGGGACACCTTCCACTAGACCAGGTTGCTTAAAGCCTTGTCCAAGAGTCAGAAGGGTTCCTTTGGTTTGTTTTCACTGTTGTTTCCTTAGTTTGCCAAGTTTTTTGTCAACTACATTATCTACTGTTAAGAGAGACTGCAGTCAAGTTGTTCAGTAATTTAGTAGTACATTCTGGAATTTGATTTTTTTTTTTAATTTTTTTTTTACAAAAGGAAACTGCTACACTGCTGCTGTTGTAATAGACTATAAAGTAGAGGATATAGTGAGTGCGCAACAAAAATCCTGTTGTTTTTCAGCAACTTTACCTTTTTGTTTGTAGTACACAGTGTTTCTGTGCTCTACCTCTTTTGATTGCAGAATGCCACATCTGGAGAGAATGTGGTCTGTACTTCAAGGTGTACCTCAGTGGCCTGTTATGAAGACATTGCTTCTGGTAGATGGAGCTATAAGGAACGTAATTGCACAGTATTTAAACTTCACTGAAGGTAAAGCTGCATGGTGGTTATTTGTTACTAGCACTCAAGTGTCTTCCACAGGAAAACATGGGAAATGGATAACATTCTACCTCTAGGAAGGCATCTGGGCTCTGCAATACATGTCACATTTAGATATTTACAGCAGCTTTTCAGTTCCTAAAAATTTGTTTCCCTTAGTGATAACAGAACACAACATAATACTTGTTTTGACTTCTCATAACTATTTCCTTAGGCATCTTATGTGATGCTGAGTACTGTTGTGGCTGTGTTTTATAGAACCATAGACAGGTTTGGGTTGGAAGGGACCTAGAAGACCACCTAGTTTCAACCCCCCTGCCATGGGCAGGGACACCTTCCACTAGATCAGGCTCCTCAAAGCCTCATCCAGCCTTGCTTGTTTTAAAGAACTAACTCAAGAAAAAGAAAATAAAAATTATCAATACCCGAGAAGTTTCTGACCTCATCAGCCATGTATGTGTGAACAAGAATTCTTAGTTTTAGATTTAAACCCAGCACAGATGCAGTTGTTGGTGTTTGGTTTTTTTTTTTTCCTTTTTTTCTTTCCCTGCCCCCAGCTGGTCATTGCAAGTGAAGAAAATGCTGATTTATACATGGATTTTCTGATCACTAAGTAAGGATCTGATTGAGGGCTGTGAAGTACAGAGGCAGGATGCTTCTTTCTCTAGGGGCTCTCCTTTTGCACACAAAGCTGAGCTAACGGTGAAGGAAGTGAAGATGCCATTCCCAGAAGAGAGGGAATAGTGTTGAAGAACACAGCGCAAGTGGAGGTGTATTTTACAGGAAGTTGGGAAACTAGGTCTTTTTTCAGCAGTTTGACTGAATAAGATGAACTACCTGCCATGAAGTTCTTGCAAATAAGTCCAGCAGCTGTGACTTTCGGATTTGGAATACATTTGTACTATTAAATGATGTGCTAGGACTGAGATTGTGTGATGTTCAGCACCAAGATACACAGGAACTGGTTGGCAGTATATAATCCTATTATAAGATCCACACAGAATACCTAGGAGTTGGTCAGAAATATAATCATATCGTAAGATCCACACAGATCTGGATTAAAAAAAAAAAAGACAAGATATCTTTCTGTGACACATTTTAGTGGAGACCTGCAATACTATAATGTGGATATATATATAGAAAGAACACTTGTATTACTCAGTTTTAATTAGATATATGAAAAACACTTTGGTCTTTTTGGGTACATTGATAGTCTTAAGTTACTGGATATTTGCATATGACTTTACAGTAAAGAATAAAAGGTATATTAAAAGTACAAATTTTGTTCAAGATGCCACTGAAATAGCACAATTTTGTGCTTGATTTTCAGCTTGGATGTCTTCAGGTTACAAGTAAAAACCCTTGCTTGAAGATCACTGTTGGGAATTTACACACACTGACACAATTTGTGTGTATTTTAGTACTGTGCATCATTGCTAGGAGTAAAGATTGTGCAGGTCACATTACAGCTCCAGTGATAAGAGTGAGGCCTACTTCTCTCTTCTTTTGTATGACACATGTATGCTTCTTCCCTTTAATAGCTTTATAGCCAAATGCTCTGGGAATTTAGCAAGCAGTTCTCTTGTTGATACACCAAAAAAAAAAAAATCCAATATGCCCTTTAGCTGTATCAGCTGACTGAACTAAATTGTAAAATCTGTTTTAGCCTCTAAAAATGAACAGGGACAGAGTGCCTAGCAGGGAGTAGTTCTCATGAGAAAACGAGTACTCTTTCAACATGATTTTCCAAAGGCGCACTTTTAGGACTGTTAATGTTGAGTTTGCTGATTGTTTATCTTCTGGGTAGATAAGGTCATTGGGCCAGAAGGTGTCACTTTTGTCTTATGGGTTTTATTTTATAGCACGTGGCCACATGAAATCACTAGTACTGCTAGTCATATTACCGAATCCTGATTTACTTGTGCACCCAAACCTGCCAGACACCTCTGAAACTTCAGGATAGTTTCTATAGTCTCCTTTTTAGGATGGGCTGATTTGAAGCATGCTACACTATTTTGCCTGTATACTGTATATCCATATGCTTTCCCTCATGCTGGTGGAGTTACGCTGATTTACTACAGCTGGGCGTCTGCCCTGTCGTTTGTGATAAAATGCTCCTGTCCATTCATACAAAGGAGTATAGAGGAAGCCTGGGAAGTGGGGTAACACAAATGGTACCCTGTCCCCATCCTCCAAGTCTGGGCCACTTTACAGATTGAAAAGTGGAGTGAAGGTGGACTTTGTGTGTGATCACTAGTGAATATCCGGCTGGGATAGCTGAAGGGTGGGTAAGGTGGCCTGGGAGCTGGGGAGGTGTGCAACTCTCTGACAGTGAGGAAGGGTCAGCTATCAGAGAAACCAGGAGGTCCAGGCCAACACCAGAGAGATCATGAGGTCTGGGGGTTGAATAAGAGTTGTTTGTGCAGTTCCTATGTATGAGGCAGCTGGGGAGAGCTGAGGGACAAGGACCAGCTGTTAGATGGACTGAGCATCCAAGAGCAGTTATTGCAGGGATCTACTCTGTGTGTGTGTGTAAGCACGTCTGTACCAGAAGCTGCAGCAGGGCTACAGCCTTGAGGGCTGGTATGCCCAGGTGCCAATAACTGGGAAGGGAGACTGGGATCCAGGGGCAGCTGCTGGGAGACTGTGTGTGTGAGCCCAGCTGCTAGAGGGATCCACAGTGTGTGTATATGTATGTATGTATGTATGTATTCCCTCCAGCAGACCTTCATCCTGACCAGCCAGGGAGGTGAACAGGACGAGGCCGTTAGTGCTGTTTGCGTGGGTGTGAATGCTGTGTGTGTTGATCTGAGTGGCTGGCTGTGTGTGTTTACTGTGTACGTGTTGGCTTGTGTGCCTACCTGCCCAGCCTTGCTGCCCGTTGGACCTGGGGACGTGGAGCTACATCAGTGTTACCTTTATAGGGCTTCTGGGTTTTGGCAACTCCTTAACATGACCTGCTAACGTTTCTGTGGTGGTCTTTTATTTAAGAAGGGCAAGACTAGTTTTGCTTGGGAGTTTAAGGAATTAGAAAATTAAATTTCAGAAGAATTTTCTGGCTAAATCAACAGTTACATATAGAATTATAGAATGAGTCCAAGTTTATTCATGGTATTCAGAGCTGGAAGCCCACACAGGACCTCATTTTCCTTTCCTGAAAATCATGAAAACTCCTGAAGTCATTGAAGCTACTCTGATATAGCTGTGAAAGGGGATAGAGTCATGCTTTCGCTGGTGTAAGAAGACTGGTCTCTTCTTTCTGCCTCTTCTTGATGAGACTTTTTCAGTGGCAGTGTGGGAGAGGGAGCAGGCTTTGCTCCTCAGAAGTGCTGAGTGTAACTGTGTACATATTTTGTGCAAAATTATGGAGCGCTTTGGTCAGGGATGTCATCTAAACCAAAGTGGAACATTTATGCGTCTGTAACTGCTGTATTTTTAAACCATGTCATGTACAGTTTTCTTTCCTAGAAGGATGTTTCCTACTGTACTCTCCCTGAATTACTCTGTAGGTTAAATATTTTCTTTATGGGGTGTGTGTGGGAAATGTCTTACAGAAGCTCTACATAGCCTGGAAAAACTGATTCCCTTTGCCCAAAGAGATGGATTAATTCATCTAGACATCAGAAAGCTCTTTGTGGAGCTAAAACAGGTATGTTATTTAATGTTTGTATATTCATTTACATAAAGCTTCAGAGGCTTATTTTAGGGGATAAAAAGTGCTTACTAAAATGCCACTTTTTATTAAGAGCATTTTGGTCCAACTTTACATTGTACCTTTTTGTTGTTTGATATTTCATCGTGAGAATTAATGTGGAGTGTGACTTAAATCTGTTCCTTCACCCTGAGGTCATTTTTAAACTGACAGTATATTAATTAAATTTTAGATGTTGATGAGCAATACTTCCTATATATGCAATGATGTGCTTACAATGTTTGAGAAGGCCCTGATACTTCCACGGGTCTCAGATGACATCGACATCTTAGCAATGTACGTGTGCCCTGGCAATGGCTCAGGGGTGACCTTCAATCTAAGTAACCAAGTCCAGTCACTAAAGGAATCTGTAAGTATTTCTGAGTTATTTTCATGGTTAAAGCTTGTAGTGCCTTACTTATGTTACTAGAAAAAAATGAAATAAATTAGCAGGAGGTGTAGTTTTCTACCTAGTGTTTGCTATTAATAAGTGAATGGGTAACCGATTATTTAAATGGATTAAAATGTGCTTGGGAGCAAGGCACATGTGGTCCTGTGGAGTCGCTTGAGTGGATGTGACATTTTAGCCATGCTAAGTAGCTGTGGCTTCCAGAAAAAGGTTGAGAAGGTTTGAAAGACTGCTAATTTAATCGTTCTTATGTTGGATTCAATATCATCAATATTGCAAATCTAAGAAGCAAGGCTAAAATCTCAGGTTAGTTTCCCATTTACTGGTTTCAAATATTGCTTTCTTTACTGTGAAAGGTCCTGCTTCTGCAGAAAGTAACTCAGGGACAACAGAGCCAGCCAGATTCAATAATGGATGATTATTTGGGATGGCAAGAAATAGAAGAGCAGCTAACCAAAAATTATCCTTATTACTGTGAAATTAATCAACTGCTGAGCACGGAGGCACCATCTGAGCAGAATATCAGTTTCAGCTCCTGTCAGAAACAGTTGCTCTTCTCACTGTATGTATCTTGTATTTCTTTTAATACATAATGATCCTCACTGGTACCAGTCTGGAATAAGGTATTCTAATAATGCTTAGGATGCTTGGAAACTTGGATCTGAAAGACTCTTAGAAGATGCAGGAAAACATTAAAGATGAGGTATTTAGAAAGTGCACTAGGAGGCATATTGCAGCCTCAAGTGGTCACTGTTCCTCTATTTTGGCAGGAAATCCATTCATCTTTTTATGAAGTTGATTGTCGTTTGAAATGACTCAGTAATTCTACTGATTTCAAGCTTTAATAGTGTTAAATCACAGTATATTAGAGAGAAATTCCTGTATCAAATAGGATAATATTCGATTATTTTTTATTATTCTTGCTTGGCAATGTAAAGCATGAGCATAATGTATTTAATGTGAAGTTACGTGCATACTGGACAGATGTCCTAGGTCACAAACTTAAACATGTAAAAGACAACTAGCTACATTACTTATGCATATGAGAAACTTGACAGAAGCGTTTGTTATTAAAGCAGTAAAACTATTAGCTCTAAGCATTCAAGAATCTGTCAGAAATTCCAGAAGCTGCCTTGCAACAGAGATGGAATTCACGGACATTAATAACAATTTAGATGCTAGAAAATCTGTCATTTTTCTTGTCCCTTTTGGTGTTGGTCAGTGGTTGATTCCCTTCCCTTTCTCTATGTTTTTACATGATTATCAAATCACCAGAAGGTTTAGTTTTACGCTTCCTTTTTTAAGCACCAAAACCACTGATAGAACTAAAAGGCCCCTGGAAATAAGGGCTTGTGTTTAAGTAACATTGAAGAGCAAGAAAAGGTCAGTGCTATTTTTATGTGAGGTGTTTTCTTGGTTTTTGGTTTTTTTTTTCAGAGACAAAACAATGATTTTTTTTTTTTAATGCAGAATAATAATGCAGCACAAGTGGAAGCGTTTCTCAATAATTGTTTTCCATTTCAAAATTCTGCTTCTTCAACCATTTTATTGGGAGTTTCTTAAAAGGTTAACCTGCTCACAAACTTGTGTAGTGAAGTCCAGTTGTGTAATACCTATGATGGTCATTTCTTCAGCAAAGGACTGTGCTATTATAGAATCATAGTATCTTAGAATGGTTTGGGTTGGAAGGGACCTTAAAGACCATCTAGTTCCAACCCCCCTGCCATGGGCAGGGACACCTTCCACTAGACCAGGTTGCTCAAAGCCTCTTCCAGCCTAGCCTGCCTGACACAGTTCTTCCTTAAGTCAATAGGATTGTCTGTATGCATGAAGTTCCAATGGAAGTTAGCTAGAGATTTACAGAGAAACTGCATTTGTTTACAAGGTTATTTGACTTTGAAAGAAATCACTGGTTTAATCATGGTAGCCTTGTTTTTTTGTGTCGTTTCAGAATTAATAATACACTTGAAGAAATTTTATTTGCTTTGGAGGGAAGCCCATACTGGAAGGATTTAACAACTTTTGTCAGTTGGAAATGCAAGGTAGCTCAATACATGAATGAGGAAGCAGGCTCCATGGGAGGTCAGTCAGGTGAGCAAACAGCTGCTGCCCAGTGCTGGCTTTGTTCTGATGGTTCCCTGTCTGGTTTAGGGTACCGTATTCCTTGGAAAGGGAAAAGGTGATGATTTTTACATTTGTAAGCCTGTTTGTTTCCATCAACCTTAGGATTCACCAGCTGACTGAATCATAAGAAAGAAAAGCTTATAATATACAGAGCCTGATTCTGGTAAATAGCTGTGATTTTAGTGCCACCTGGAAAATTTTTGGATCATCCATTCATATTGGGAAAATTCCAACTGATTGAACCTGGTGGAGTCTCTAATTTTACAACACTGTTCTGTCAGGAAGGCTTCGTAAGTCCAGGATATAAATGGGAGACCAGGCTAGCTGGTCACCTAGTAGAAGTATTGCTAGGCTTGGTTCATATTAGGCAAGTACTTCTTGCTTGATTTCCTTCATTCCAGTTGTCCTGACCAATCTGCTGTAAACCTTCTTGACATACACTAGTTTTTCATTATTTGGGAAGAACTTTAAAATATCTGAGATTTATGCTTAGGAATGGGAGGAAATATCTGAGATTTATGCTGAGAAAATCTTCCATTTCAGATTTCTTTCTCATTAAATATTTGTGTTACTCTTCTCAATGTTTTAGTAGAGTTATGAAGCAGAGCACAATGTGGATGATCCAACAACTCTAAAAATGACCCTGCCCAATATTGCCTATTTGCTTCTTTTAAGTATTCTCATTATGATCACAACTCTACTGTTTTTTTTCTGACCACTTATATTTCCAACTTCCGAAGGATTTAGGATTTTTTTTAAAGCTAGTTCTTGGGATTTGCTAAAGATTTGTTTTTCTGAATGTGCTTTTTTTTTTTTCCCTTTGCTCTTTTTCTCTGTACAGCTAATCAGAAATGTGCTGAATAACTCATCAGTAAGTGGGCAGCTATGGAATAGATGCAAAAATAAGCAGTACTTTTTTAATCGAAGAACTGCGTTTGTGAAATAAGCTGTTCAAATGTAAATTGATTGTATAGATTTTGTAATCTAGTACAATTCCACATATTTCAGTTACTTGGGCAGTAGTAGTGAATTTTACAGAACTACTTTCTCTTCACTAAAATTCCAAGGAAAAAAAAAATTAAAGTTCATTTCAGTGCTGAATGCAGCCCTAAGTGTGCTCTGGTATAATAGAACTAATCTTATTTGAACTAGTTCTGCAGCTCATGCATAATTCAAAAAATATCTTCTGGTTTTACTTTTTTTTTTTTTTTTGAAAGGAATTGTATTTGAGTTTTTCTGTAAGAAAAATACAGTTGTGCCTTATGTAGAGCTGATATTTATTGATTCTGCATTTCATTCCTTTAAATTATTCAGTAGAACTAACATCACACACTTGAACAAAAATTGCATATTTACTTCTTTTAAAATGTACATAATTTATTTCTCTTTCTGCACACATTCAAGTCCTACTAAATTTGGTAAGACTTATTCAGGTAGTTTCAGTGGGAGTTGATCAATTTTTTCATACATGTGTTCATAACTTCTTTTGATCTGTCTCTTGATGTTGAAATTTTTATTTTCTCTGCAGATAGACTAGATGTGTCCCTATGTTCTAGGCAAAATCTCAGTTTGGAGACCATCCATTTAGCATTTCTGAAGGATTTACCAGATTATTCCTTATTTATTTCCTGGGCACGGTAAGGTTGAATTAGTCAATGCAATTTCTTTGTTTAACCATTTTCCAGAAATCCTTTACCCCTCCTCTGCTTTGGACATTTGTAGTTCTTGAATGTAATTACCTTGCTTATTTTCACCAAATGACTGGTGTTTTTCAGTATTACTGGGAAGAAGTGGAATCATGCAAAGGAAGTTATGCCTTCTTGGCTGTCATTCAAAAGCATTTAAAAAAAAAGACATCTCCATCTCTGGTGTGTTACCATTAGTAACCAAAATGATGGACTTCTGATGATTCCAGTGTATTGTTACAAAGGTTGCTTGTCGCTGTGTTACCTGAAGCAAACATCGAAACAGAAGCCATTTAATCATCACTCTTTAAAAAAATTAAAACTATCCTTTATGAAACAACTTCAGACTAGTTGAGTGCTGCCTCTGCCATTAAGTGCTATTAACTATTTACCATGCTGTGCTGGTGGTCACATCTGTTAATAGATGAGAATGCTTTCTAAATTGCATTTCTGAACTTTGAACTTTACTTTCACTATGCTGCTATTTAGCTCTTTGCTAAATCAGTCCCTTGTTTAATCTATCAAATGGAAATAGCTGCTATCAATGCAATGGAAGATGAAGAATCAAAAGTTTATAATAAATAGCACAATTTGAGTATATCCTCCACTGTTAGGTCATGTTGTGCTTTTCATTCAAGCAGAAGTTGACAGGGACTTCAGTAACTTGATTAAAATGGGCTCTAGAAGTAAAGAGCTCCTGGTTTGGTTTTTCAAAATCTTAGATATTCTTCATATCTACAGTAAACACAAAAGGGAAGTTAAGGAATAGAATGCAAATTGGTGTCTTGAATGTTCAATCACTCTTCTTTTGTGCTCTTTCCCAACTTTATTATAAAGATCAATACAAGCACATTTGCTAGGGCAAGTATTTGGGTTTGGTCTTAAGTTTCTAGAATATACACTATTTCACTATTTTCTCTACACAGTAGTAGTAACTTGTTTGGGTTTTCTTTGCTAGATTTGCAGAGGTATTTCTTTGACTTGAATAGGTCTAGGAAACAGATTCTA